GTCCTTTAACAAAAACATTTCATTATTGAAAAATTCACAAAACATTTCAACGGTTAAACTGCTACAAGCATTTTTCACGCTGACTTATGAGTTCTAAGAACCTTTGCGAAAATTCATTTACAAGGTTAATAGCTCTTGGTCTCATTTCTGTTTCATGCTTGAAACAGTCCACGAGAATACCGCGGAGGGAAGCACCAACTATGTCTGGCAAGAATTCTTGTGAGCGCGGCCATTCTTTCTTCCTCATGATGGCAATAAGTGACTCAACGTTGCTGTCTAAATCATCACTTTTCCTTGCAGCAGCTCCTTCCTTACCTTCCAACAGTTGTTTTCAATATTCTATCTCGGTGAAAAGTTCAACGAGCGTACATGCCAATGACCAGACATCTGAATGGACTGCTGCTTTCTTCCTCTCAAGCAGACATTCAGGGGCCATATAAGGGGGAGTTCCTTGGATTGCTGAGCTAGTCGTGCGTGTAAGGGATTGTGCTGACTTCAGTTTGCTCAAACCCATATCGCACAGCTTTGTGATGAGGATTTTCTCGCACATTGGCAGGTTTTATGTCTCTGTGAGGTAGAGGAAGTTTCAATTTATGCAAGTAGGCAACAGCTGACGAAACTTGCTTCCCAACATCAAGCTTATTGCAGCTTTGAATCGTGAAAGTGTTAGAGGTTTCGTCATCGTTGAATAGTAATTCCTCCAAACTTCGCCCCTTGATAAGTTCCGAGACCAGGTAAATAGGATTTTTCAGATATGAGATGGCCATAATTTGCACAATGTTTGGTTGGTGAACCATACTGTGAATTCGTACTTCCGTTTCCATGACTGTCTGAAGACACTTGGCGTTTCGTATTTTAACATGCTTCACTGCGACCTCGGTTCCGGCCCACACACCCGTGAACACGACACCAAAGGAACATCTTTCACTGAAAGTTAATTTTTTCCTTCTGCACAACAGGCAGGGGTGACGTTCGCCTTAGCACTTGTGTTGGAAGCAAAGACACTTGGAGGTCCCAAATCACTTAAATTGCGAACCAAAACTGGCTCCGACGTAGTCTTTTTTTCCCCGCAGTGCACCTCGATATGGTAATCTACTTACATCATCCATGTTGGTACACAACAACAAAGAATGAAAAATTGGAAGACTGGTACCCAGGGCCTGAAGTCCGAAGTCTGAAGTCCAAAGAAGTCTTAAGTCTCAAGTCTGAAGTCTCAATTCTGAAGAAGTCTGAAGTCTGAAGCCTGAATTCTGAATTCTGAATTCTGAATTCTGAATTCTGAATTCTGAATTCTGAATTCTGAATTTTGAATTCTGAAGTCTGAAGTCTGAAAGTCTGAGGTCCGAAATCCCTTTTCGGCTTTCATACATATATCATTGGACATTTTACCAAAAAAAGACGTTTATAACTTTATAACCTGACCCAATTTAAAGCCTCAAAGAACCTTATTGTGCAAAAAATTACGTAAATAATACAACTGCATGGATATTAAAATACCAGAGCTGAACTTCTGCTTACAACAAATAAATGCTGTCATACGGAGGCTAGCAAAATTTGTTTTAAAAAGTGACCAAAGGAAAAAATTGGGCAGGAAATGTAGCTTTCAATTAAAAAGAAATTCGTCTAAAATGAATTGAAAGTGAGTTTTTTTCTAACTGTTATACTAAAGATCATTTCTAAGTAATGTAGAGGGTCGTAGCCAAGTATAGTACCCGAATAACTAAAACCTCTGTGTTTGATTTAGTTTGATCAGATCGCCGAACACACAATCGCACTTAGTCGAAGGATTGTTTTAAAAGAAATTCGTCTAAAATCGATTGATAATGAGTTCTTTCGTTCTGTTACGCTGGAGATCATTGAAGAGAGTCATAGCCGAGAAAAGTACTTGAATAACATTGAAATGGTTCGAATCTATCAATTTTGATTGGTGACGCGAGGAACAAATATCACTTTCAGAATTGGTCACGATCAACTGGTGAGGATATATTAAAACAAACGTTGCACAATTCTAACCCCGTTCTTGTGACACATCATCTCATCTGCAGCAGCACTTTGTCAAATTTGTATTGTCATGAAATAGCCAAGGAATCGAATTTAGTTTAATAGCGAAGCGCATATGTTTCTAACTTACCCTTGGGAAGAAGTGGATCTCTTGCCAGTCTTTCTCATTTGAAGGAGCCAAATGACATTTTCCATCTCCTACTTTTAATTTTCCGATGCTTTCCTCTTATGATTTGTTTTTCGCGGTCGACGCCATTTCGAAACTGCCTTATTACGGCCGGAGTTGAACGTATTAGCTATAAGAGGGTCTCCCGGGGTCTCTGGGGTTAACCGACTTATGACAGAGGACGAAAAATAGATTTGACTACCAACAAAACGAAAAAACAAATACTTAATGCCGACAAGTAACTGACTTACCGACAATCGACATAGTCTAACATTATCCCTTTTTTTTATTCAGAGAGAAGAGTATTCTAGCTCAGGCATGGAGGAATGTCTGAATGAGGTTAATCGACCTGCGACAAAGGCGAAAAGTATAGCTGACTACCAACAAAACGCTGAAAAAAATTACCGATCAGCGACAAATAAATACTAACCGACAACCGGCACAGTCCAAAATTATCGATATTTGGATTCAGGAAAATAGGAGCAAACAGCCACATTATGGGTATGTTTTTGAAGGCACATTTCAAAAGCTCATATGTCTCGGTTTGCACTAAAATTGCTTTGCCTTTCTCTTTCAAAAGCTTCTGCAATTTTCTTTCAAATTTAACTGTCACAATTTTCATTGTGAAAAGGCTAAGGTATTATTGATAAATGTAGCAAATCGACTTTCGTTTTAGATATCGACCCTCAATCAACCTCTCAGATTAAACAAACAAACAAAGTTTTGCGAAAGGCTTGAAGTACTTTGGCAATGAAACTCTTCATCTAAAGAATAAATAACTGAGAGGCAGCTTTACGACACGCTTCACACCGCAGAACACTGATAAAATCTGTTAGCTGCTGTTCTCGCCTCATTTTCATTGCAGAAAAATTTGTTTATCTCTTTCAGATTATCAGTCGCTGATGTTCATGTCCTTTTACTTATTTTACACGACCAAATATGTCACATCACGGCTATCAAACATTTATTGGCCAACAGCAGCCAATATACCGTGGGAAAAAGTAAGATAAAATTTATTCCTTTTCCAAACAGGTGCCTTTGCATATATGTTCGTGTGTTTTTTTTTTTTTTTAATTTTTTTAAAATTCATTTATTCTTGTTGATTTAATTCGAAGCGGATGTTCATCAATAGATTGAGGATGTCGAAAGGTAAATTATTCAAACTCTTCGATCTACAGTCGACTCTCGCGCTGCGGACACCTCGCTATTACGGACACCACCCATTAGGGGACAAAAGCCAGACCCCCGGCGAAACGCACATTAAAGACTCTCGCTGTTACGAAAACCTCGCTTCGTCCAAAATCCTGATAATATAAAGCGACATTACGATAAAGGAAAATAAAGAACCCATTTTTCAATTGGGTGTGAACTTGAGAATTTCCTGCTTGCAGCCGGATCTTTTTCAAATTCGTGAAGCCATGTTAGAAACTTAATGCAGGCTCAGAAACATATTATTTCATATGTTTAGAGAAAACCAATATTTTTCTCTCGCGTACCCCGCCATTTCGGACTCTCGCTTATGGACACTACTCCCTCCCCCGAGGTTGTCTGCAATAACCGCGGTAGTCGACAGTACTATTAAATCCATTAATCAAGCTTGCTTTTCGCAATCAATTATCAACATGAAAAGTCAACCATTCAAGCTGGATGCAGCTTCAAGTGTACTTAAGGTTTTTCAAAGAGCAACTTTTATAGTGTAGACGAAGTGAGGAACGCCTTTTAATACAAGAAAGAAGACGGTAAAGAGTGTTAAAAAACTCGTGCAGTTCTTCCTAACATCTTACCAGGTAACGAGACCTCGGTTGTTTCTCGCAACTTCGCTCCATGTCATGATGTGATAGGCGACAACGAGGGGCTTTCTTTAAAATAGATCTTGATTATGTCATTCTTTAGTCTGTCCACCGCTGTTTGTTTTGTTTCAGTCAACTAAGCGAGAAGCCCAAAGTGAGCGCGCGATGGTCTGTAAGAAAACAGAAGTCCGTCAACTTATTAGTCGAGCTTCTGATAATTAATACCATGAGAGTCGCACGAACATATGAAACATGTTTTTAAATCCAGGGATATGTCATACACCGCTTTCAATTCTATTTTTCTGTTATATCTAGTTAAATACGAAAGAAACAAGTCAGTGAGTGAATTTTTACATTCTCGGTTGCGCCAAAGGCCATTCTTTGTAAGCGAAACTGCATGGGTTAAAAACCCTGAGGCTCTATTACCATCACAAGTATCGCTTGCATTACCACATTTTCATCTTTCTCTGAACCTCTATCAACACTAGTTGCACTCTTCGTGACGTTTTGTTTCAGACCATCTCTTCACTTGTGACAACATTTGGTCTCAAGCGAGCAGTTTTCCTCGCAAGAAGAAAGTTTCGAAAGGGAAACAATATGGCTTCACAATCGTGGTCCAGATTCCGCGGCAAATTTTATGAATAAGCATTAAATCATATTTTTTTTTTGAAGCAATTTCTTCTTTTATACGCAGCAACTTCATCACTGCAGCAAATGTTTACAATTGCGACAACTTTTATTTTCACAACAACTTTTTTAATTTGCAGAAAGGTTTTCGTTAATTTGTAGCACCTAAAAAACTGCCACAAGTTTCAAGGTTCAACACATTTCATTTTTTTGTGAACAAATAGCAATAACTTTTAAGTTTGCGACATGTGCCCTGTGGCAGCAGCCAACATACCATGGGAAAAAGTAAGATAAAATTTATTCCTTTTCCAAACAGGTGCCTTTGCATATATGTTCGTGTGTTTTTCCTTTTTTTTTTTTAATTCATTTATTCTTGTTGATTTAATTCGAAGCAGATGTTCATCAATAGATTGAGGATGTCGAAAGGTAAATTATTCAAACTCTTCGATCTACAGTCGACTCTCGCGCTGCGGACCCCTTGCTATTACGGACACCACCCATTAGGGGACAAAAGCCAGACCCCCGGCGAAACGCACATTAAAGACTCTTGCTGTTACGAAAATCTCGCTTCGTCCAAATCCTGACTCACATAATATAAAGCGACATTACGATAAAGAAAAACAATGAACCCATTTTTCAATTGGGTGCGAACTTGAGAATTTCCTGAAACAAATAGCAATAACTTTTAAGTTTGCGACATGTGCCCTGTGGTCCACCGTTATGTAAATTTCTTTCAGATTAGCACGCCTATTTTGAGGGTCTTTTTGGGGGATAGCTTTGACGGTTGATCGGTTGATGGTTAATTTTTTTCAGTGGATTTTTACAGTTGACAGTTAATTTTTAACGCCTCTTGTTTTGGCACGTTTTGGATAAACAAGAATTCTTAATGTTACCATGGTTGCCTCTGCGTGAGTTGAAGTCAACAGAAGTGACGTGTTTTTGCGACACGTGCGCAAAGCCATCTGGTACAAACCGCATGGTATTAGTAGGGCATTCAGATAAGTAGGCGTGAGTTATACGAAGCGCCTCACCCGAGCAAAGAGTCATCCAAGTAAGAAATCACAGATGCCTGTCTTCCCTCACGCGCTGCTACTGAGGAACTCTCTTACATCGGATGAGAGGTTTTCTCCTACAATTGGGCAAAAGGGGGGAGGATCTATTCCCGCTTTCCTCTTTTATTGGACAGCTTCATTATTTAGGATTGGCTAGGGTTAAGTTAGCTTCTTATCACATTATCTGTCATAATAATATAGGAAATCTCAAAATAAAAGGCGATGTATTCCCCTTTTCTTTCCCCAGGTGTGGCAAACTTAAATTCAGCAGTTGTCAACAGTTACTTTCCTGCGAGCGGTGCTGTATGGATAACTATGGCATATGTGGTTATCTTCGTCTTCGGCTTCTTTGGTAACATCTGTATCATTTACATTGTGGTTTCTCGTAAACAGATGAGGACCAAATTCAATTTCTTAATTGTAAATATGGCAGTTGGAGATCTACTTGTTTCTCTCTTCGTTATGCCGTTTGAGGTGAGTAACAATTTTTCAATTGTTAAGGGTTAATTCAATGTTTAGTTTCGTTATGCAAAACGTTCTCACTCACTCCCAGTAGTATAACACATTTTTTATTTCCCACGCTATTAGGTCGTGTTGTCAATGGAATACCTATCTTGAGTACCTCCCTGTCTTTGTAGGTGAAATATCTTTACATTGGCCTGGCATGGATTCCAGGGGCAATGGGAAAAGTCACGTGCAAGCTTGTTGGGTTCCTGAGGATCTTGTCAGTCGCTGTCAGCATCATAACACTTGTCTTCATTACAGTGGATCGTTACTTCGCCATTCTTCATCCACTTCGAGATATGCGTTTCATTCGAAACACAAAACTAGTCACTGCTGTGATATGGATCTTGTCTTCCCTGTTTTTCTTGCTGTATCTCTTGCTTTATGACGTTGTAAAGAGTGCTGATGGCTTTCATTGGGAATGCACAATGGTTTGGAATTTCTTTTCCTCAGACATGAGTGTCCAGTTTTCCATTAGGAGAGCCTGTTTCATGACCATGTTCTTGATACTGTATTTGGTTCCTATTGTTGTCATAGCATGGGTTCATATTCTTATTGCTCGACATGTTTGTTCACGCCAGATCCCAGGGGAGCCGACAGCCCATCAGCGACATCAAAATGAACTGTCCAAGCGCAAGGTACTACGCATGATCATCATCGTGGTGGTGACGTTTGCGCTGTGTTGGTTGCCAGCTCACATCCAGCATTTACTGTTGTCCTATTTTACCAACACTTATAGAGCTTTGCTCAAAGTTGAACATCTGGAATCCAGTTTATATTTTCTAGCACACGCCAATAGTGCCATAAATCCTTGTCTGTTTATTGGTTTAAACCAAAGATTCAACAATGAGTTCAGGGGAATTCTCAGATGTCTTTTTTGCCGAAATCCCGTTCCCACGAGAAGAAGCATTGGCACAGAACCACCCATTGTTCTAACTCGCATACGAAAGACTGTACGTCAATGTAATAACACTGTTATCCCTCTTCGCAATCAACAGCGTCCACGGTCTCAGAGCTGTATGTTTTGAATCTTCAATTTTTGGCCACGAGTTAGACAATACGATAAAAACCTATCAAAACCATTAAGATTGATATTTTAGAAATTTAGTAGTAGTGCTTGTATTGTTCTATAAACTAAAGAAAAGTGTCATATCTGATAAGCCAAGCTAGGGAAAAAATTGCATAGAAAAATTTCATAATATATGCGAAAAGCTTCATTTACTTGGTAGGACGTTAGACCACGTTCGACCAGTGTGCTTTGCGCGCAGTTGTTCTTGTTATTATACGGGAACGTATTACTGTTTCTCAGAAACAGTGCTTACTAAAAAGGCCGTAGTGTTTGTCAGTATTTCCACGCTAAAAATAGAACAAGGTATTATCAACCAAAGCACAACTAAACCACCAGTTTGGAAGAGGTATAATGACTACGTTTCTGTCTGTGGAAAGCAACCAAAGCCTTTGACTGTGTCACAATAAAATTTATTTGATCCTCCCCTCCCTCTACGGCCCTGTAGTATTCTACTGATTCCCCCTCGTTGGCAGTCAATCAACGATAGTCTCCCCTTTATGCTTTGTTAGCAACCACCGATATCCCCTGTGTTCCCCTAGAAATCCACGTGATCCCCCCAAGTCCTCCAACTCCCCTCCCCCTTCGTTTGTGAGAATGTATGAAATGAATCTAATCTAATCTTATTTTATAAACCACTGCGTGAATGATGTCGTAGTTCTTTCGTGTTTTAATGTTACAAGGTGTCAAACACTGAAAATCAAGCTTGTACTCATTCCTTAATCTGCGAACAAAGTCAATGATAGTGCTAAACGATAAAAATGGGACTATATTTAATCTGAAATATCGTAAGGGTTTCCTTATATTGGTGTCGGGAAAAGGAGTGGAAATATTATATTACTTTAAACCATTCCTGCAGGGGACTATAAAAAGGCAGGTTGATTACTTCTTATTCCTTTTGGAAGCCTTATCTTAAAGGTAGAGTTTGGTTACGTTTTCCTCGTTATGATAGTGAAGTTGACATAGAAACAGTTGCTCAGTTTCTACGGTAATTAGAACTTGTGATAGTGTCTTGGGAAAGCTATGTTATTAATTAAGTTAATTTGTTAGTTCAGGAAGAGTGAATCTCTCTGGTAAAAGGTCACGTTCGACGCCTCTCGTTCTTAAAGGTGTAAACGTGTGATACCTTCACGTTTTGCAATTAGAAAGTTATTACGACCAGCGCGTAGCAACTTGGGGGCGGTACTTGTGAACGCCCCTTCTTTTCCAACTTTTGTAATCATGATGTTGTTATGTAACGGTCTTCTAAGGAAATTTTCTCTTAAGATACCCCTTTAGATGTGAATAATATCCCGTCAGTAGGATAGTTATGATTTTTATATTACCAATCTCGTTTCTGTTCTGGCCGATCTCAACTGTAAGAATAAGAAATTTAAGGTAGAAGATGATTTTGTAACTGCGCAAATAACTCGAAGGCGCATACTTAGTAAGCAGAAACTGTCATACGTAATCTAACGTGATTCGCCGGCTGAGATGGAACGATGACGATACAAGAAGATTGACAGCTTAATAGTGTCATCTGCAGTGTCACTTTTATAAACAGTGACCCTCGCTTTTCTCATTAGATAGGAGTTAGTCCCCGTTGTTACAACTTGAGAAGAAAAGAGATTAAAGTAGAATCAACCAAACCAACAACGAGTGTTAGAGAATTTACTTCTAACAGTAGTTGTTTATCTAATATTAAATAACGCATCTTTTCAACAGAAACTTAGTAACGGAATATATTTCCGATTCCGTTTTATGTTTTGGAGCCTTACACACACCAGATCTTCGTGCAACACTTAGATATTTTCTGTAGAGATTGGACAGTAGTAGAAAGTTGCCTTTTTTTCTACCTTTTTTTTTCCTTTATCATAAACGCGTAAATGAACGTTCACTCTTCTATGAACCTCGCATATCCGGTCAAACATACCCCATAAAATTTCAACTTTCAGTTACTCCTATAGCTTGAAAAAACAATCTATGGCCTATTTCAAATCTTTACCAATGGGACCTCTGTTTCTACATGCGCTAAAGGCTATACAACTGGTAATACAGTCAATAATAACTATCCCAGTGCTCATGTTGAGTGTCAACTGTATAGGAGAATCACGGCAGTGGCCATAACAGACATCATCGCGACCTGATTAACTCACGGCCGTTAGTTAAGGCGAGTACGAGTGTGCTCTAACGTACAAACAAACAATACGCGTGGGCCGCACGCAAGATAGTTAAAGATATCTTTTACAACAATGTTTGATTTTAAAAAAACTGCAAAATTAATCGTTTTTGCCGTAAAAGGGGAACATAGAAGCTTATTAAAACAAATCAATTAAGAGAAAAAGATATGCTTTTAACTGATATCATAACGATACCAATCCTGCGCGCACACCCCTCTCTTCCTCAAAACCACCCTAAAACGCAACCAAACTAAATCAAGACTCCAGGAAAAATAATGCTCGAAGTTTACCCTGAAGTTTGTACTTCGCGATAGGGACTTACTTAGTTGTTCTTAGTGGTTCTAACGAGGCGATCGCGATAGATGATTAAATACGAATTTTAAAAGAAGCAGTATCCCTAAAAGTGGTGCGTTGCATTGCTGTTCGAACAATCAACTTCTTTCAAACTTTGCCCATGAATCTGTCTGAGTCTCAAGGTAATGGAGACCACCTTAGTTTTGAAAATTTTTAAAAATAAATTTTTTCTGAGCGAAAATCGCTTCAGCTCTCAAAGGCCTATTGTTAACAGCGCCGATCATCAAATATGGCACAAATCACCATGCTCATCTTTTCACAAAACTCTGGTTTGAGGAATTTTTTCTTCGCATATTTAGCTGGATTAATCCTTTAGAAGAACAAAGTACATAAGGTTGGCCTTTTTTAACGATATTTTCCGCTGAAAATTATTTTTCAGTTTGACACTTACTTTGCCTCTACAGCCATGACCAAATGTTATGTAAATTTGCAACTTTTAATCTCGGCTCAGCACAAATGTCCAACTTCTGTCCCATGACATTTTCATTCAGACAAGCTGATATAAGGTAGAGGAGTATGGAAATATAAAAAATATGACGCTGTTTTCGGCGAACTTCTGGCACATTTTCGAAAATTCCACCTAACAATGCTTTTGCACTAAACTTGAGCGGACTAATTTATACGAAATTTCCATCGCCAACTTTTAGTTGACGCCTGAATTGAGCACTGTGAAGCATTTTTATGATTTCTGATACCATAAAACGTCATTCAGAAGAGAAAATTCCTCATCCTTATCTAGAAAAAATACAGCCGCCGAAATCTGACTCTTCGCTTCTTTTTTGGTTGGCTGTGCCTTCTTACTTACAAATCCATCACATAATGACGAATTGTGAAATAAATAACGAGTGATTTTTAGGTGTATGAAACAAATCTTATCTTAACTCTGTTACAAACCACTGCGTGAATAATTTTGGTCGTTGTTTTGTTGTGTTTTCATGTTTCAAGGTGTCAAACACCAGAAACCAAGCATGCACTCGTTCTATAATCTGCGCATAGGGTCAATGATAGTCGCTCTTTGATCTTTCATTAACAATTAATCTATTTGAAAGTTACTCACTCAAAGGCTTTCAGTATCGCAAACGTGTTTCTTTCGGTAAAGTGAATTTTGTTGATTTACTCCCGATTCCGTTTTACTTTTTGGAGCCTTGTGCACCAAATCCTTGCGCACAACACGGACAGTTTTCGTCGAAAATCAGAGTCAATCGTACAAGCAAAGTCAGTGCGATTGTGGTTGCAAGTTATTAAGAGGCGAGTGCGATAGATACTTTCCTCTATCACGCAACAACCAACACACGCCGCCTTAAAGTAATACAAGTTCTTTATTGTGCGGTGGGCCAAGCGGAAACCACCTTGGCGAAATATGCTGCAATCTAACAACAATCATTCTTTAACACTAAATTTTCATCCGCAATAATATGCTCCATATCAATACCTTACAGAAATCCTTCGCTTTCGGTAATCTACAGTTATTGCAAATAATTTTCAGTTTTCTTTTACTAGCCAGCCTAGGCCTGCACTCTCAGGTATTTGCATATAAATTCCGAGCCAGAGCACTTTTTAGAGTGAACCCTCAAATAAGCACTAAGGAATTACAAGGCTGCCGATACCATAGTAGATCACTCTTGACGACAAACTCTTTCATATAACAAGCTCTAACATCCTAAGGTCGACGTATCACTAAGTTCGTTGCTAGTTACGCTAAAGTTAGGCTGGGGAATTACTAATATCTTAAAGATTTATCCCCAACTGAGGATCTACAAATCTGACAATCTGAACGCCGTAAGTAATTATTATATGAAACCATTGAATATCGATAGTACAAATTGTTAATGCCTTATATCATTGAAGACTTTATAACAAAATAACGTTTATAACTACATAAGCTGCAACAAATTACATGAATAATACAACCACATGGATATTAACGGCTAACCCTGCTGAGCTACCGCTTACAACAAGCAAAGGCTGTTATACGGAGGCTAGAAAAAAATTTGTCTTAAAAATTGACCCAAAGGAAAGATTTGGGCAGGGAATCTAGCTTGTAACTAAAGAAACTCCTTCTTACAGGAACTAAATAGGAAATGGATAATTCAATGAATAAATAAACAAGGGAAGAATAAGACTCGCAAACTTAAAATTTGGACCAGAAATGCGGTCTGTTCTGGGGCCAGGGTGACCTTCACTTAGAATAAGGGCTCATGACCCCAATATTGCTACCTTTGACACCCATGGCCTGGTTCCTAAGATCTGGTGCGTCTCGAGCCAACAAAACGTTGTTTACGGCCATCTTCACGAGCTCATTTTTCAGAAATAGCATTTCACTGTCTCTCTCATTAAACATTAAGTAACCTATTATTTACCAAGACTACTGCCAGGAATCAATGGTAAGTCATCCTGGTGTGAATCTAATAGAGTTCCATTCGTGGGAATTAGTAACCTATGCACTCAACTAAAAGGATTATTTAAAGCTACTAGGAAGGATTCCTC